GGGGGGGGGGGGGCAGGGCTATGCCAGTTGCCAGTGGCAAAAGGTAAAGCTAAGGCGTGGCAGATGGGACATACGATCCGGTCGCCATACTTTCGGGGGGGGGGATCGCAAAAATAAATTCTAAATTGATGGAGGTGAATGGAAAAACAGACAAGCATTGATAATTTATGAGAGCATTTCCCTCCACCTTCCCTACGATTTCCAGGTTGTTCAAGCGGATCATTTTCCCTTTTGGGAGTACACATCTGTGTGAAAAGCTCTTTTCCAGTAAGAACTTTAACAAGTCAAATATCAGGGCCAAACTTACTGATGAGCATCTTCAGGCTATACTGAGGGTCTCAAATGCTTCCTCACTCAAGCAAAATGTTTCTCAGATTTTTATAATCGAATGCTATATCGTGATTAGTCTTAAATATAAGATCATCAAATATATCGAGCCTAGCGATATTTCATAGATTCTAATTGTATTCAGTTAAATGCACCAGTTACCATGCAATTGTCATTTTAAATTTAAAAAAAAAAATGTTTCTATTGATGTACTACACATTGTGCTCCGGCTTGGGAAGGGGGGGGGGGATTGGGGGGAAGGGGCAGTACCCTACGGGAGAGATAGCTAATCGAAACACTGATGCTAACAAAACCATATTTTTGAAAGCATGATGCCATCATCCAATTTGTAATTAATATCATTCTCTAGTCCCTCGTTTAAAAGCAATGCTTTTATTATAAAATATAATTTTTAAAAAATGAAAAGATTGTTCACGTTTGATACTCGGTGAGAACTCTATTAAATTATAGACCTTAAAATATATGCAAATGTTGTTTAATACAGTGTTATTCAACTCTTTAAAACTTGTGAGCTTTCAAAATATAATTAAACCAACAAAAAAAAAGATAAATGCGAACGGGAATCAATACTTCGGCTTATAATCGGCAAATTTGTGAAACATTGCGATATTTATAATTGAAGAATTAAGCTTCTAAGAAGATTAGCCCTAACTATGTGCATCATCAAATATATCGAGTGTAGCGATGTTTCATAGATTCAACTAATTGTAATCGGTTAATGAAACCAGCAAATATTCTTTTTAAAATTGATAAAAAAATTACAATTAAGTATTTTTTAAAGATAAAATATACCTTGTTTTTTTACTTTACATGTTTTTGCTACGGGGACCCCTAGACGTTCCCCGGGGGGGGGGGGGACTGCCAGGCTCTCAATTCAATGGAAGGCATTCTGGGATGTGCCCCAAATTCAATGTTTACAATACTTCCTCTTCTTCATCTTCTATATTTTAATTGCCCACGATAAATGTATCTATAGCTTTAAAAAATCTAAACTGTTATGGAAAAAATATTATAAATTTAGCAATTTTTTTTACTACATGTTTGATTATAACGCTTAATGTTTTGTTTTTCCAAATTCAAACTGTAGCAAGGCTGGGTATATTTGGTAGAAGTGGATAAAAGAAGGTTTCAACGTTGTGGCAATGTTGATCCTTTTTCATGATGCATGGACACAACAGGAAGGCCTCACAGATTAATTATTTGATTCATTTCTTCATATTTCTTTGCATCCTAATGGACAGGAACCCATTGGGTGTGGGAGGTGGCTAACATGCTGGTCAAAAAGACAGTGGAGTATGACAAGAGGATCAAAGACCAACTGATGCTAGAGTTTGTTGACCCTGTGGGTAGGCTCGGGCAGGCAATGTCACCAAGGGTTCTCAGTTCTCATTTCGTTATAAATCACCTGCCTCAAGAAATCATCTCCAAGAAAACTAAGGTAAGTAGGAATGGTGACGTAACCTAGAATCTTTGTTTCAAACAAAATTGGTTGTGAATACCAGGATCACTGTTATTTTTCTTCAACGGTAATACATTTTAACGTGTTATTAAAAGCAATGAAATATTTATTTGTCTTTTAATTTATTTTTTAAAAGTCTGCTTAACGCACTGTGTCCTGCATTCTTTGAGACTTTGTGTGCCAATTATTGCAGACAGGTATAGCCACGAGTGCCCCTTCTTTAAAATGCTTCTAAGAAATTGTCAGCAGAGTCATGTTTCTATATCCAACAGCTAATTTTCTTAAGTTTCGTGCCTGGTCACATTTTTTCTTAAGAATTTCTTTTTTTCTTATTGCTACTCCGGGATAGATCTGGCTTGCATTATAAATAACGACAAAGGGATCCACAGTGAACATCATGTATTGTTTCTGTACTGTTTGTCACCGCTGACGTCATCATATTTCATGGGGGGGTTTTAGGTTGCCACAAAAGTTGATTATTATCTCATCTTCATTGAAAAATACCAGTAATGCCTTCATTCTTTTACGAAAAAAAAACATATTCTTTATGAGCTATCGTATGTTACATTACATAAATCCATGTTTATTTTCTCTTTTTCAGATCATCCACTTAATACGAAATCCCAAAGACACCGTTGTATCAATGTATTACTTCTACTCAAAAAATCTCACAGTAACATCATTCCCTCTTTCCGAATTTTTGACAGAGGTTATTGCAGACAACCGTAAGCATTTAATTCAAGTACACTGGCTAGCAATCACTGAGCCGCAGACCAAAATGGGTTTGCCAAGGGTTTTTTTTTTTCTATTGGGTTGTCAGCTTCAATGGTTCACTTTCAAAATTGAGAAATTAAAGCAATTTTTAGTAATAATTCATGTCTTAACGTTTGAACAGCGGCACAATACGACCATCAGCCTCTACAGATCTCTGAGAGAGGAGATTTTCAACACGTATTCGTTTGAAACCATAACAACAGTTTAGAGGTTGAGAATAACACGAGGTTAGCATTAACAAAAACTCAAACGTGTCTCTTGAAAAAGGGTTCACGGGTCACTTTGCTTCAATCGCCCGAGTTTGCGTGTCACTATTTTTTTTACAATACTATATCATTATTTAAGCTGGGGCATTACAGGATTTGCAGATCAATGCATTAACATTCTTATACATCTTCTGAAAAATTGCAAAAAGTTAGTGGCATTTTCATTATTTCTACAAAATCCATTCTAGTTTTCTGTGACCCAGTTTTTTTTGCCAAACCGCAAAAAAGCTCTATCAAACCAATACTAATTCTACCAAACCCATTCCAGTTTCTGTCTGCCTAAATGTTTCTACCCCCAAAAAATTGTAGATTATTCCGTACCACAAACCGTTTCTAGTGTCTTCCTGTTTTGGAGTTTCTACCAATCCCATTCTAGTTTGTTTTTCTTTGTCAATTCTTTTACCAAACCTAGTATTATTCCTTTCTCAGTGTTTCTTCAAAACAAAGTTTGTTTCGGTTACTCTTAGTGTTTCTGCCGAAGCCATTAATGTTGATGTCTGTCTCATTTTTTCAACCAAAGCCATTCTAGTTTCTATCTTGGAGTTTGTATGAAACGATTCTAGCTTCTGTCTCCACCAGTGTTTCTACCAAACACATTGTAGTTTCTGTCCGTCTCAATGTATCGTCCAACCTTACGATAGTTTCTGTCTGTCTAAATGTATCGCCCAACCCCATGATAGTTTCTGTCTGTCTCAGTGTTTCTGCCCAACCAGTTTGACTTCCTACGTCAGATCACAGAATTTGAACAGGCTCACCCGGACCAACCCATCAAACACATCCATTATGAGGACATGAAAAAGGTGAACTTTTATAAATATTAATTCGAAACGTATTTAATAGTGAAATAAATATATGACGAATAAGGATAAAGACGTGTAATATTTTTTTATGTTGTTAACAACAGAAACATTCAAAAGAAACTCATTTTGTAAGATAATTTTATTTTGAAATGATTTAGGAGGGGGTGGGGGTTAACACAAGTTAGAAAATTTTCATTTTTATGATGTAACGTGTCAGCTAGTTTGATTATGAATTTCAGAGAGAGTAATAAGACTTAATTTTATTTTATTTATATTTTATCAGCATCTTTTAGTATATTTTTTTTTATCTTTAAATTTCTTTCAGGATATATTGTGTTTTTATGATTGTTTCTTCATCTTTCTATCAAAATATCAGATAAACAATACACCTTTTCATTTCTAAAAAAAAAAAAATCATTCTCTGTTTAGGATCCCTTAAAGACCATTTTAGATTTAGCCCAGTTCTTGGATGTACCAGCCAGTGAAACCTTCTGTCAACAAATTGCTGAGGCTTGCAGTTTTGACAACATGAAAAAAAACGACGACGACGGCAACAAAGAAGTGCCACAGGTTCAGGTAGAGATGCTCAGAAGGTTCGGCCGTAAGAAGATGTGGTTGTTTAGAAAAGGTATTTATAAAGTTATGCAAGTTTTTTTTTTTTATTTCCTTTGTGTGTTCAAAAAAAAAAAAGTTTGTTTGGAAAATTAAACCTTCTGTCAACAAATTGCTGAGGCTTGCAGTTTTGACAACATGAAAAAAACGACGACGACGGCAACAAAGAAGTGCCACAGGTTCAGGTAGAGATGCTAAGAAGGTTCGGCCGTAAGAAGATGTGGTTGTTTAGAAAAGGTATTTATAAAGTTATGCAAGTTTTTTTTTTTTATTTCCTTTGTGTGTTCAAAAAAAAAAAAGTTTGTTTGGAAAATGTAATACGCCATTATTATCTAGCATCTATATTTTACACTACAGTTACACTACATCTGATATATAGAGCATTGCTAATGAGTAAATCTGCTATTTAAGATCTAATATTTAAATATAAAATATAATAACCTTACTCACACAAATACACCGAAACGGAAAGTGTATATCCAGACAGTGCAACCAATGTTAATGTTTGTTGACATATCTGGTTTAAACGTAAGATTGCATAGTGTATACGGTGGCCTGCATGGCTATATTTTCTTATATAGTTTAGGTAAGATTGGACTCCGAAAAGGTAATGAATTAATATTTATCATGATTAAAAATTGATGGAATTTGTTTGTTTTTTGTTTTTTTTGTTGTTTTTTTCAATTCATTAATAGAGGGGGAAAATGAATTACTATACAAGTTTTTTAGTATAGATTTTCATGTCTCAGTTATCAGATAGACGCTCTTTGCTGGATTACGATACTTGTGGTAAATCTGTTTTTGTGTTGTTTGTTTTTCTTTTTTAACTTCCGGGGCGCTGATCTCACGTCTCCATGCTACCTGTTTTGGGTTTTGCTTTCTATGGACATAAGTAGTAGTAACAGTCTTAAATAGACTTCCGGCAGTAAATATCGCTTTCATAAGCGAATGTAATTTGTGGACATTGTAAGGCACGACTACACATATTCACATCCGCCAACTTGGTAAAAAAAGAAAAGTTCCCGCCATCTTGTAAACACATGGCGTGATCAAAAGAAGACTCAGATGACGAGTCGGCTTAACACAAGAAAAGCTGAGAAGTATGTTCAAACGAATATACCAGCGTATATTCAGGAATCTAAACACCCCATTTAAAATCTAATAACACAATGCTTTGATTCCGACCAATTTTAGAGCAGCTTAAAAACTCAGACAAGGACTTTATCAAATATGGCTTAAAATTGTTGCAAGGGGCTGGTTACTGATGCTTAGTACCTCACCACACGGTACTCACCTCTATAGCTAAGGCCTCAAAAGTGTTTAGCATCGGCCAGCCAATGGATAATGGCTGAGACTAGCCGGCGAACCCACGTAGCAAGGGTCACCGAGGGACATTAAATATTTGGTAAACAGAGTTTGTCAACCTTAAAATGTAAAGACTAGATGCGGTGGACTGGATGGATGAACCAGAATTTGATCGGCGCGATGGTAATCATTCAGTGCATGAAAAACACTTAAACCGTCTCGATCGACGCGGACAGACCTTAGGGGAGAACAGCCCATAGAGGAAAAGCAATAGCCAGGTACACGTTAATGCCAACTTTAGCGAAACTCTGCTTTAAGGAGAGCGCGAGCAATATTAAAGCGGCTCATTCCATGATGTACCTGTTTGTGGTGGCAGAGGCAGCAGGGAGCGCCGTAAGGCTGGTGTTGGCTTAGCTATCAAATCTACAATGATTGACATGATTGATCGTTTCCAATAAAGTCAATGGAATTGAAATGATAATGACCGTAAAACTCTTTCTCTTACCTCACAAAAAAATTTCAATATCACCTGTAATTCTTGGTGATTTCAACACTCATGTCGGGCGCAACCAAAATGCTTGGGATGTGGTTTAAGGATAGACTGGAGTGGACCATGGCAAAATTAATGGGCGTCGTTTTCTCCAAACTGCTGATTAATAATACGGTACTGCACTTTCAAAAACGTAATCATAGATTCTGTATGTTATCTCAATCATAACATTGGCATCGACAATTTTAATTTTATTATCAGTAGGAAAGAAAGCCGGGAAACCACGTCTTTGTGCGGTGGGGATTTCTAGACAGATCTTCATATTATTATCACAATGGTAAACCCTCACATAGACAACGAAAATCAACCCCAGGGAAGAACACCCTAAATCGTCTTAACAACAGAACGTTTAGAAACCATGCCATCAAGAAACGTTGTGTGGATTCTCAGGAAGAAAGTATGAAATCGATCTGAGCGTCGTGGTCCCTGGCATCCCTAAGATCTATTGGCATCCCTAAGATCTATTGGCATCCCTAAGATCTATTGGCATCCCTAAGATCTATTGGCATCCCTAAGATCTATTGGCATCCCTAAGATCTATTGGCATCCCTAAGATCTATTGGCATCCCTAAGATCTACTGGCATCCCTAAGATCTACTGGCATCCCTAAGATCTACTGGCATCCCTAAGATCTACTGGCATCCCTAAGATCTATTGGCATCCCTAAGATCTATTGGCATCCCTAAGATCTATTGGCATCCCTAAGATCTATTGGCATCCCTAAGATCTACTGGCATCGCTAAGATCTATTGGCATCCCTAAGATCTATTGGCATCCCTAAGATCTATTGGCATCCCTAAGATCTATTGGCATCCCTAAGATCTACTGGCATCCCTAAGATCTATTGGCATCCCTAAGATCTATTGGCATCCCTAAGATCTATTGGCATCCCTAAGATCTATTGGCATCCCTAAGATCTATTGGCATCCCTAAGATCTATTGGCATCCCTAAGATCTATTGGCATCCCTAAGATCTATTGGCATCCCTAAGATCTATTGGCATCCCTAAGATCTATTGGCATCCCTAAGATCTACTGGCATCCCTAAGATCTACTGGCATCCCTAAGATCTACTGGCATCCCTAAGATCTACTGGCATCCCTAAGATCTATTGGCATCCCTAAGATCTATTGGCATCCCTAAGATCTATTGGCATCCCTAAGATCTATTGGCATCCCTAAGATCTACTGGCATCGCTAAGATCTATTGGCATCCCTAAGATCTATTGGCATCCCTAAGATCTATTGGCATCCCTAAGATCTATTGGCATCCCTAAGATCTATTGGCATCCCTAAGATCTACTGGCATCCCTAAGATCTATTGGCATCCCTAAGATCTATTGGCATCCCTAAGATCTATTGGCATCCCTAAGATCTATTGGCATCCCTAAGATCTATTGGCATCCCTAAGATCTATTGGCATCCCTAAGATCTACTGGCATCCCTAAGATCTACTGGCATCCCTAAGATCTACTGGCATCCCTAAGATCTACTGGCATCCCTAAGATCTATTGGCATCCCTAAGATCTATTGGCATCCCTAAGATCTATTGGCATCCCTAAGATCTATTGGCATCCCTAAGATCTACTGGCATCGCTAAGATCTATTGGCATCCCTAAGATCTATTGGCATCCCTAAGATCTATTGGCATCCCTAAGATCTATTGGCATCCCTAAGATCTATTGGTATCCCTAAGATCTATTGGCATCCCTAAGATCTATTGGCATCCCTAAGATCTATTGGCATCCCTAAGATCTATTGGCATCCCTAAGATCTATTGGCATCCATAAGATCTATTGGCATCCTTAAGATCTATTGGAATCCCTAAGATCTATTGGCATCCCTAAGATCTATTGGCATCCCTAAGATCTATTGGCATCCCTAAGATCTATTGGCATCCCTAAGATCTATTGGCATCCCTAAGATCTATTGGCCTCCCTAAGATCTATTGGCATCCCTAAGATCTACTGGCATCCCTAAGATCTATTGGCATCCCTAAGATCTACTGGCATCCCTAAGATCTATTGGCATCCCTAAGATCTATGCTGTAGAAAACCACTATAGATTTTCTGTGGACTAAGCTCCAAAAAAAAATCTTTTTTTTTTGTTCAATGACAAAAGTTTCGTAATCAAGTAGCTTCTGAGGGAAACTAAAAGTTTGTGATAACCCCGACCTCAACTACTCTAAGTCAGCACCACAGCGTAAGATGAACGATTCTATGTGATTTCCAGAATTCATCTGTTGTTAATCTGTACTCACTATAATCTTGCTGAAACGTCTTTACACGGATTTTGAGAAAGTCTTCTGCCAGAAAGTCAACGCCGTTTCCATGAAGTACTCGGATCTATTGACATGGATTTGAGAACAGAAAACTGCAGGTATAATGCTAATCTCAACATTTTGAAAGTTTCTGCACCTATAGAGACCTGACTAATTCCTTTGAACCTGTTAGTGGAGAAGCTCTTTAGAAGATCATGGCAAAATTTGGATGTCCCAGATAGTTCATGTCAATGTTACAAAAATTCCATGAAGAAATGCAGGTTTGGTTTTGGGAAAATAAGGAGATGTCAAAACCATTGTATATTGAAAATAGCTTTAAGAAATTTTTGTCCTGGCTCCAAAACTTTTCACTGTTACGAGTTTTCTCCACGCTCACTAATGTCTTTAGAGAGTGAGACCTCAATTAAAGCGTCCAACATAAACACAGACACTTGGGAAGAAGGACAATGGATCAGGCAACTTGACGTTTATTTTTAAGCAAAGATCAATACAATATGAAGCTAACTGCATGGTGGCTGCAGAGGACACAATACGTGTTAGCAAAGCCAGGGTTAATTTTACACCCGGAGCTTCTCCATCCATCCCTTGCAATTACTGCAAAAGTAACCTTTCTTTTTGCGATTAAGTCTCATCAGCCATCTGCGCACCCACAGTCAACTACAGAAGTAGAAAGAAGACGATTATTAAAGTAGTCATAGTCGATTTCGACGGACAAGCAAGGCAATTATGCAAGCTCACATCACATATTATCATTTTACTTTTATGTCACTGTAGGTAAAATGTTTTTATGTCCCAGCAAGAATGTTTGAATCTGTGAAATTTTTATTTCAGGAATTATTGGGGACTGGAAAAATGAACTAACAGAGGAACAGGTGCAAGAATTGGATGATTACATAGACAGGGAGGAAAAGAAAGGATTGGCATTTAAGTTTGTCTATGAATAACAAAGGAGTTGTGACGGAAAGGTTTCATTCATTATGGTATAACAAATAGCCAAAGTGACAAAATTTTCATATTCTGTTTATTTAAAATATCATAATATATGACTTATCACTCTACTGTATCATAATTTATGACATTAGACTTTTAACAAGGTTTTATTTGTAAATATGTCAATTTATTTAGTTAGAACAGTGAATTATCTGTTGAAATGTATTAAATATTACGCATTTTAAATTAATAATTCCAAAATAATTTTTTTTAAAATTCAACCATTTCCACTAAACAAAGCATAGCTTCATCAGAAGGGAACCACCCATTCTATGGGGTGGGATCACCAGGGAATTTTTTTTTCGGAAAAAAAAAGAGCATAATGGGTTGATGCATACCATTTCCGTTTTCATATTGTTTGTTCTTGTCATGGTTTGGCTAAACCATCATGGATCGGATGACGTTACCGTGAATTGAGGGAAAAGAAAATCAGAGTAAAAGAATAAATTATATTTTAAAAACTGAATTATTGGGTCTTTTTTAATTAATCTTACCTTTTTTTGTATTTGAGTTTAGAAACAACAAACATGATTTTGGAACCAACCCAAATTGATAAAAGTGGGCTGCATCCACGGGCAAGCTACTCTGTTTTACACATATTTGAACGTAGCCAATTGTTGAATCTCAAATTTTAAGAAAAATATGTGCTTACAAAAACTCGGGTTACGCGTCAAATTCTTGAGCAACTTACAAAGTGGATTTTCGAGAAACACTAGCTTCTAAAATAACTTAGTAGTAACTTTCAAATCTTTTTCAATATCAATATTAGTTCCATTAAAAAATGTTAATACAAAATTAACTAAATGAGTTATAAATATAGCTTTTAGATCCTCTTGAAGGAAATTTAAGTTTATTATTTTGAAATTAACAGACAGTGGATTAAATGCAATTATAATTTACTACAATTATCTCAACCACACATCATTCAAAAAAAAATTGAACTTTTAGAGAGTTAATTTAAAATTAACCGAGGAAGATATGTAACTAATCTTTTTACTATGTTGTAGGAACCGATGATTTTTTTCCATTGGAAATAAACAGACTCGGCTTGAAAAATACAAATAACGCTTAGTTAAGAAATGGCAGAAAAATGTGGACTTTCAAACGCGAAAATTAAGAATTTCCAACATAATAAATGTGTATAAAAATTAGTAAAGAAATATGCGATTTGGTATTGGTAGTGAAAATTATAAATAGAAAAGTATAATAGATCCGTTTTTGGAGTCTGATGCCTCGATCGAACTACCTACATTTTTTCTGGGCCATAACATAACACATTTTATAAGAAATTTCTGCAAACCAAAACAACAAATAACTGTGGAAAAAAAATATGTGTATTTTTATAATGATTTTAATTGTAGTAGAATTTAAATTAGCCTCTCTCTCTCTCTCTCTCTATATATATATATATATATATATATATATATATATATATATAGCTAGTGATTTACTTACGACCTATGCAACTTACGACCATTCGACTTTACGACCACAATCACTATCCGCACTGTATTAGATTTCAGATTTCTGTATGCCTCAATTATCAGTCGAACGGAGTTGTCTGAAATCTTCGTCGGTCGTGAATAGAGACATACCGAATTTCGGCTTCGTTTTCCGCGCCGAAAGTGGCCGTTTGATCGCTTTCGCCGTAATTTCGGTTTCGCCCGAAACAAAAAAGTTAAATTTCGGTTAAATTTCGGCTTCGGCTAAAACTGAAATGTTAACTTTTCGTTTAATTTCGGTTGAATGTGATTGGGGTTTTCGGTCATCTACCAGATGAGAGACTGTCTGTCTTTAGGCTGGCAATCCGCTATTCATTATTTCTCGACGTATTTCTGTCATCGTATGTTATATTACTAATGCTCTGTGAAAATTGCTCACATCTGCATAATGACCTGCTTGTCCTTTATTTCCAAAAAAATAAATTTTCTTCTTCTTCTATATCTTAAGGGCCCACGATCAATTTATTGATCATTTTGGCTCCTATGCAAGTAGATGGGATTTGCAATGTTTCTGTTACTGGTGTTGATGAGGAAATCATGCACTAGGGGTTTGAAGGCTTGAGGCAATGGACACAAATGTGTCTAGTGTTGTCGCCTCAACCGTTCCTTTTGAAAGATTGTTCCAGTCCCTGATTGTCTTGGGCAGGAATGAGCAGCTCCTATACTGGCTTCTTGCTGGTATGAGCCTGAATTGCCTGTCATGGCCTCGTTAGGGACGAGTTTCTGTTTAATACTGGAACAGTGGACCAGCCCATTATTTATCTTGTACATCATGGATAGCCTGGATTGTCGTCGTCGTTTCTCCAATGGTGACCAGCCTAGTGTTTCTAGCATGCTGCCAACACTAGAGGTATTCCTGTAGCGGTTTAGGACAAAGCGTGCTGCTCGTCGCTGGACCGCCTCCAACCTGTCAATGCTCTTCTGGGTAAATGGGTCCCAGACTGAAGATGCATAATCTAAAATCGGACGGACAAAGGCTTTATATGCTCTTTCTTTCACACAGGAGTTGCCAATCTTTAGATTTCGCCTTAAGAACCCTAGGGTCTTGTTTGCTTGGTTACATACATTGTTAATATGCTCGTCCCAGCGGACCTCTCTTTGAATGGTAACACCCAGGTACTTTACGGAGGAAACTTGCTCAAGTATATGGCCGTGCAGTTCGTATTGGTAGTGTAGAGGAGTACAACTTCTAGAGATTGATAGTGTCTGGCACTTGGCAGGGTCAAATTCCATGTCCCAGCTCATCTCCCACTCAGCTAACAGATTGAGATCCTGTTGTAGCTGGTCCTGGTCAGATCTGTTGGCGATAGTCCTATACAAAATTTGGAAGAAAAACTAGTGGAATGGTAATATTTTATATCAATATTTTTGTTAATTTTTTCCAAGTATTAAATGCGGAACCCTAGGTTTATTCAACTCCTTTTGATTTATCATTATCATGCTCATCAATTTTGTCTTAGGCAAAGGTGAATAATGTTGCTTGATCCTAGGGAATGGTAAATTTTTTTTTCTATTTTTGTTTTACTTTTTTTTAAATTAAGGAAACCCAGGCTTTTTCAATTTATTTATTTCTTGAATTACCATTATCATGCTCATAAGCATTGTTATTGACAAAATAACAAGTTGTGCATGTATCACTGGCGTGTATTTTAATTATATAGTAGGCCTACTGCAGACCTGTTTACTTTTATGCTTTAGGCGATCAATTTAGATGTCTTGCGATTCTCAGTATATATATTTATGTGTGTGTGTATGTGTATTTATATATATTTCATCATCAATTATTCATATTGATCATGCCATTTCAGACATTGTAATAACAAAATACAAAAATAACTAATAATAATCCTACTACTACTAATACTCTGCACCAGTGGCTAACTCACATGTTTTGGCTGACAATCTGCTTTGGAATTTAGGCTGAATTTGTGTGCTGTCTTCTATCACTAATTTACGACAGCTAAAGATACGAAAGGAATGCAAAGAAGCTTCAAGTCGCGTATCTAGGTGGGTCAAATATGTGTTTATATGTTATGGTCGTTTCAATAAATTTTATCAAAATTATAATAAACTTCTTTACAAAATATAAACTGTCTCCTTAATTTATTCATTAATATGCCTATATTTACAATGTACATTGTTTAGTATATGCTTAAGATAATGTTCTGTGAGATTAATTTTGGACTCGGGCACTTACAAAAAGGGGTGTGGAACATTAGGCTTATACTAGTTTGTAAAACTATATGTTTAACCTAGAACAACAAGAATAAGCAACATTTCATTCCATTCTGCTGCATCTTACCGTATATTTTATTTCATTTAAATACATTTATGTTTATATTGTCCTCTTTAAAAATAACTACACTAAAATTAAAACATGCCGATCACAACAGCACATAGCAATATGACCACACTGAATCACAAATATTAGAAAAAAAAATTTAAATAGCTTTTACGAAATTAATTAAAGATTCCTACTTGATAAAATAATGTTTTGACTCAGCTACTTTAGTTTTTTTTTAATCCACGAAAAGGCATTAAATTTAAGAAGATCGTAAATAAAATTAGGCATCGCATACTGGCTTTTGACCCAACGGCATTTGGGTGGCGAGATAGGCTAGTACCTTTTTATAAGCAGACGTCGGTGACGTATTTACCAGCCTTTGCCCATGGATACCCTGAGAGGAATGTTCGTGGTATTTCAACAGTTTTATAGTAAATTGGATCAGTAGCTTTTGAACTTACATGTGTAGTGAACATTTTCACTTTGAGCTGGCCCGACCCCATGCAAAACAAAAATATCCGCGCATGTCAAGTCAAGTCACGTAGCTAGGTGGGTCACGAATATGTGTTAATACGTGGAATAACAATAGCGGTTACACAAACAAATAACAGCCACACTAACAATGACAACAGCATTACCAACACACAGTTCAGATGGTCTCTGTGGCCCATGGTCTTAACAATCTACACTACATTTAACGTCTTTATACAGATAATTACTTGATTTCTTTTGAAACTTGACAGTAAACACCTATTTTGAGATTATGTTGTATAGGCCTACATATCATGAGTAACATTTTTTCCCCAATAAATTGCTAAGACATTGCAAGACGTGAATAAAACGTATTTTCTGTCTTTCGATATTTGCAAGAATAAACATTTTAACCAGCGATTCGTCTTGTTTTGGTATTAAGTTTATCTATGAAAATAAAACTGGTGCTGCGACTGAGATGTTTCAATTACTCCTGGATAGCTGTATATCATCAATTATTTCTGTTGTAGTTATAACTAAATTAAAATGCTACAGGACGTAGAAGTCTAAACAAAGGTTGTATTTGGTAAGTATAAAATGTATGTCATTATCATTGACGTTAAACTATTATGTCACCTATCGGTTGTTACCAATCTCGTGTTTGCCAAAAAATAAATTCATAGGATCAAAAATCTAAACGAGCTAAACATCTGAAAGTGACAGCATAATTGAAAAGTGATATTGTTAAAAAAATAA